TTTTTTTTTTTTTTGCCAGATAGGCTCAGACATCCCCAAACCACATTCACTCATCTCAGACATCCACACAAGGGATAGTTGTATGTCTTGAGTCACATACAAAGACAGGTTACTCAAGGCCCTCTTTTTCTGCTAGACAGGAGAAAAAACAGATCTCTGAAAACTGAAGAACACTGGGAGAAAATGAGAAAGAAGCTCTGTGCTGAAGTGGAGAGTGAGAGAGCGAGCTAAGATTCTCCTTCTTTCTCTGATTAATGTTGGAATTTTTCAGGAAAAAGAATTTACCAGGTAACAGATTGGCACACATATAACATCTGTTCCAAGAATCATCTACACTCTAGAAGAACAGGAAAATGTTAGCTAAGAATTGTGTTAAATTTAATTTCTTTTCCTCTGTGCTTTTAGCCTAAATTTGTGTCTCTGATGGTTGTCTCTACTAATTTAGTCCTTGCGTACTTTATCTACTGTATTTTATTTATTTACCAACATTTATGTGCCACCTACTCTACTCTATGCAAATTGGCACCTCAGAGTTACTTGTAAACAGGAGCAGATCAGCATCATCCTGGGATCTGCTCAGAACTTTACATTTTCCTGTACATTTTTCTGTTGGTCTTTCTTCTAAGATGTCTGTAATTTCAGCAGCTCTATATTTTTATTTCATCTACACTGATGGTTTGCAGGAAAGGCACTATAGAGCATATTTTCTATCATTCTTTTTTTCCTTTTGTAGAGTCCATGGGGTTCTCTGAGCTTGGTTGTTTTCTTGCAGATGTTTCGTTACCCAACTAGGTAACATCTTCAGTGCTAGAAGGGAGTGGGGTTTGCTCTCTGTTTATATACAGTGGCTTGCCCTGCAGTGTTTGGGGGGGGGTTGGTTTTTTTCCTTCTCCTGGCAGTTCTACAAGGAGAAAAAAAACTAGGAACTACCAGGAGAAACCCCCCTAACACTGATTGATTGATTATGTCCTGATACGTAAAACCATAGAACTCAAAGAGGGTGTACTTTCTTTTTCACATGACTGTATACTAGTCCTTATCCATGCAGAGGTTTATAGCAGCTGCTGGTCTTAAAACTGCTCATAGAGATCTGTGCATGACAACGGAGTTACAGAAAGCTCCTCTACTTTCAGATCACCAACACCCACCGAGCAGAATAGTAAATCCAGAATGTGCTATGTTGAATGAGCGGAGCTAGACACCAATTGGGACAGGTCCATAGCCATCATAGTGAACATGGCATCTGACTGGGTAACCTGAGCTTCAGCAATGAAATTCGTCCAGAGAAAGTCCAGGGCAATACTGTATCACATCAGAAATCACCCTAACTCAGGAAGGAAGTACTGTTCCAGCCACCCAAATGAAGCAGCAAAGACTAAAATTTAGTAGACTATCAAATGGAGCTTCTGATAAGTGAGACTGAGTTGCTGTTCATTCCCCAACCTCTGGTCCTAAACTGTTGCATCACAGAATATTCCAGTGGACAAAGTTGGGAAAGGCTGACTCTCCCCTCCTCTTTCAGCTGGGTCTTGGTAATACCTGCTACATCAGCAGTGAGTGTGACCTGGCAATGGTGGATTTTGCCTACCAGATTTTCAATGATAACATTGGGCATTTATGTTAACATCCATATTTTTTGGAATGAGACTTTGTATGATTATTCTCCTGTCTTGGCCCTGTTGGAGAGCAAATGGATAACCCCTTTGAAATCTTGGCATGTTATAGGGTCCAGGTACACTAAACCAGGTTCTTCATTTCCAGCCTTAAAAGCTGCCAGGCACATTTGATTATTAATAGGTGAGTTATTACATTTTGATCCCAAATCACATGAGAAATTGATGTTATAGAATACCCCAAATTTGAAAGTAGCAGGAAAGATGTTCTATTGGAATGCTTGGGGTCAACACTTTAAATCAGCTGATTTCCAATGGTTGTTTTAGCAGCTTCTGAGGTACCTGCAATTTTAGTTTCCTTGAGATACGCAGTGCTTGAACAGAAAACAACAGTTCAATTCTACAAGAAGTTGAAATGTGAAATAAATGTTAATATTTGTTATATATCTGAATTGTGGAATGAAGAACTGGAATATCCAGTTTTAGAGAATCAATGGGTCCAGGAGTTAAGAAAATATTATTTCATGTTTATTGAACCTATCAAAGAATATTTAAAAAGGGATGGACATTGTATTTTTTATGTTGGTGATGTAAGAAATTTGAAGGTTCTTTATTTCATATGATTTGATCTTGCCCAGCTATATCCTTATTTTTGGTTTCAAATCACTATATATGTTAACACAATTTGGTACAGAAATATTATAGCTAAGGATCTAAATATGATGTCAAATTATGTTCCTAAAACATGGAATTAGTCATCTCATAGAGAACTTTGTGTCTATTGAATCTGGTGCATGGCAAAAAGGATTATTTGATATAATTGGAAAGGAATTTACTCTTCTGATTTTAAGGAAAGGATCCAGGATATAAATTTGTTATCTATTTTTAAAAAGCCCCTGTGTTCTAAAAATGAGAAAATGACACAATGATTTAATGATAGGCTTAAGGACTGAATTAACTTTTTATAGTTATTATATGGGTTTTTCTGGTTAATTCATATTTTTCTTTTTTGTCATATTTACTCTGTTTTAAACACTATAGTTTATTTAGAGGATTTTTTTCTTCACTATATAATCACTATTATATTTTTTTCTCTGTTGGTGATAGAGCCTTTTTTGTATTTCACCATTTAGAAAATAAAATAAAATCCTTCATCTAGTTTTACCAGCAACCGACTTTGCATTAAAAAGCAGGATCTTTAATTTGAAGGGTGCACCAGCACTGTGAATGATAATTCCATTGAAAATGTTGGCTGTGAAATACAGCACAGATTTACAGAGCGATCTTGGGTAGAACCAAAATTGGAATAAAGCCTGACAAATTTTATGCTTCCAAAGTTCTGCTGGGGCTTGTGCTCAGCATGCATGGGAAGACATGTGCAGATAGAGTATAGCATTTTACTCATCTCTCATGTTCAGAAAACAAACTGGCACAGTGTAATGACATCATTCTCTAAATGCAACATATGAGCAAATGAATAAAGTACACTGCTTCCAAATAAAGTATGTGGAAGTACAGTACCTGTCTTGCCAAAGGCAAGGGTTCTTTTTCGAAGATTCAGAAGCAACGAAAAACCACAAGTGAAGTGAAGAAGTTAAATGATCTTTATTTAGAAGCAGGCATACATTACCAAACAAGCGATTTGTCTATCTGTTATCGGGAGCCCCAGGACAATAACGACGATACCCAACACGGCCGGTATGCAGCACCACTCCGGACCAGGTCTGCATTGAAGCTCTCCAGATCAAA